AAATACACAAACACCACTCCTACCTCTCCCAAGATCCTAATTCTTCACCTTCACTTCATCTCCCAGTCTTCTCCAGATACTCAGTGAAAGATTCAAAATAGATCCTGCTTGCTCCAGAAATGACTTGTAGACCTTGCCTTCATGGTTTTCAACAACAGCGATAAGGAACAAAGAACTTAGGGGAAAAAGGTCGAAGCTGGGTATCAGATTCTGGCCTCCTTTCCTCTACCTCCGGCTCATATGCCTGCAGAAGGCCTCACCTCATACCCACTCGGCAGCTGCTTTTTCCTTGCAGCAATCCCAGCTGTGGGGCAAGAGCCTGCTCCAGCCCAAGGCCTCCTACAAAACTGTGCACAACCTTGACATTCAGAGCTTGAGTTCTCATATGTCTTGACTTTGTAGTGTCTTTAAAATCATACTATGAAGCAAAAATCGACTTTAAAAAAAAATTTTTCAAAAGACAATCATTGCCTCACCTCTGAAGGAGAAGTGAAGCTTACAGACCAATTTTGTTTGATTTGCAAAATTAAAGCAAAGGGATGTTTCTAGAATCCACTAACGTAACATCAAATTTATACCAACTGCTTGTTCTAAGAAGTAGGAACCGGGAAGTTGGAGTAAGATGGTGCCTGGGTGTCCTGTGGATCAATCTATTTTTCTGCAAATAACTGTTCTGTTCCAGGCTTCACATCCCCATGCATCTTGGAGGGAATCCTCAGCATTTTAGTGTTCGGTGACTCAAGACTCTAGGGACCGACACCTCTGTCCTGCTCATCTCTTGTTTCACTATCGTTTATGCTGATGTATATAAATCGCAAGGGTTCCTCCTGATGGAAGGAATCAACGTGTTGCACTGGCCAGGGGGTGGCGCTGCTTTCTGAGCTGAGGCGTTGAGGCCTTGGGAGGTCATGGTAGTATCAGGAGCATCCAGGGTTCATGCAGCTGGTGCTGTCCCTGCAGTGGGGCTAAGGGTGTAGAGGACTGTGGGAAGCTGCGAGAATCTGCAGGGCCCAAAGCAGTTGGGACACACCTGATACCCTAGAGTCTGGAAGGCTGAGGGGAAGCCCTGCTCCGCCCACAGAGGAGCTGTCCTGTGGCCAGCTGTTTACAGTCTTTGAAGCAGGATTGATGCCCAAGCGACTACCTCCTGCTTGGGTGAGAGTGGCTTCTTGTAGCACAGCTCCCTGCCTCAAGAACGTGATTTCTTCTCCATCGACAAATGGCATATTTCTGCCTCCTTTCTTCCCTCCTGATTGGCTGCTGGGGTGCTAGGAAACATATATTGTTTGGTTTGTCAAATCCAGACCTGTGAATTGTTTTTCAAATAACCTTCACCTTGTTAGACTCCCTTGCGTATCTTTCAGCCCCAGGAGAGAATTCTTCATTCTGGGATTTGTTGTGCATTCCCTTTCTCATGCACATTCCTTGCTGTTTTCTCTCCTTTTTATGCTCATCCCTGTCCACTCTGTGTTCTGGTAACTCTAGTAATTCTATAAAGGTTCATGAATATTGTACACACTAGAATAAAATATCTTATTGCTTCTTATTTGCTCTACTACAACATTCAGGAAATCTCAACGGACTTTAGTAGGTTTCTGGTTTCCTTCTTTTCCTGGACTAGAAGTCCTTTTATTTGTCTCCTTCTGCTGTGGCAACCAGTTCTACAGGGGCATATTGCAGCCCTGCAGTAATTGTCACCTACTCGTGCAACTGTCTTGGCTCAATTGGAAATACAGGATGTTCAAGCTATGTACATGAGCCTGACACACGTCTGGAATTATGGGTGTAATTAATGCCATTGTAGTAGAAATCCCTAAGAAGGAAAGACATGAATTTCATCTCTCCTGGATTCATCCACTTACCCCACAGTCACAGAGCACTTATTGAGGCACCCGGGGCTTGGTGCTGGAAAGTTGAACATGTCCGGTGGTTGTGACTTGAGCCTAGGACACTCACTCACTCATTAGAAATGATGTAGAAGAAAAATAGACAGCCAGGAGGATTGAGAAGGAGGTAGGATATAGACAGAAGCTGAATGATGAAAGTACCTACAAGTATGAAGTGGTTCCCTTGGTCAACTGTTCCTGAGAGGTGGAGTAAGATGGGCTAAGAACAGCAAGCAGAGTTATACTGAGGCAGCATGACAGACAGCATGAGCCAGCAGTTTTAGCTGAGTGAGGACAGGAGCCAGATAGGAAAGATTTCAAAGGAGAATGGGAGTGGATGTGGAGGTGGATGAGGCTAGCTGTTTCCTTGGAAGTAATGTGCACAGAGGATGCCATGGTAGTTGGTGGGTGTCATGGGGTGAGCGCAGTGTTCTGTGGACAATGAGAGGTCACTGGGGAGGTTTGTCCAGGGAGGGAGGGAATGCAGCACACAGGGAGAAACCAGGAGAGCTTGGAGCAGTGAGGTGAGGGACCTGGGACTGCTTGGGAAACACTGCCTTGGAAGGGAGCAGAGGCCCCTGAGACCCAGAAATGAGAGGCAAGGAAAGCAGGAGGAGTCCAGGAAATGCTGAGATGATAGGTGTGGCAGCATGGAGGAGAGAGCTTTGCGCACAGTTACCATCTCTCTCTCAGCGTGCTGGGCCACATATTCCGCTGAGAGCAGAAGGGCAGGAGGATGAGGGGGCAGAAAGGGTCCAAATGTGTGTGTGCTGGAGCTTTGAAAAGAGTTAAACAGTCATAGTCACTCCCAAGAGCAGTGACCCCAGCAGAGATGGGTGGACAGAGCTGATCTAGTAGACTGGAGGACGGATGCGCTGTCCTGAGTGTGAATTTCAAGAGAAATCTGTTCGCATGCTTGTGAAGCTCACTCCACCAACATCAGGAGACAGAAGACAGCAAGAGTCGGTGTCATGAATGTTTTTGTAAGTACAAGTAATTCATTCTGCTGATGAATTACAGAAACACTAGATGCGCTTGAATAAAAACAGCCCAGTTGCAAACCCAGTTGCAAACCCACTAATGATTATGTTTGCATTGTATTCAATCTATATAGTTTCACTGCTCTGATCAAACACGAATACATGCTCATCCATCTCGGCTTTAGTTGAAGTCCATGAATCTAAGTTAAAGGACAGCAGCAGGACACTTCACTACCATCAGCACCTTCATGATCAGCAAGATGTCCGTATGTGTTCTTTTCAGGGTTGATATACAAATGATGAATCTAGTTTGAAAGCTGTACACCTACAGCATACCTAAGATAGTACTGAAGTCAGAGGCCACATACTTTAGGAGAGCTCCATTCTTACTCCAGACACTCACCAAGTTTAGTGACATTAAGCCCGTCTGTAGGATCTGGATGCCAGGAGAGTATCTCAGAGGCCCACAAAAGGTCACAAAAAGCTCCACTA